CGTGGCACAGGCGGCCGCCCCCACCACAGCCCTCCCCACCTGGGATTTACATCACGCTGCCCCACGTGCGGTCCTGTCCCTCTGATGAGATATCCGGCGCCAGAGGAGACCACAGGGCTCTAACAGGGGTGATTTCACAGCACACGCTGTGGAGCCTGGGTTATCACCGCCCTTTCCCAGCTCAGAAAGGCAAACCTTCCTCCTGCCCCACACCCAGCACAGGGCAGGAGGAGCTCATTCCTACGCCTCAAACTCAAGGCATTCACACCACGGAGCCTAAAGGAGCCCTTTCCTGCCCAGCCTCTTCTCCAGACGCTGCCCGTAAGGGATTTCGAGTTGAGTAAGGAATATTTCCAGGCGCCTGGGGGCTAGGAACTGCAGATGGGCCACATGGTCAGAGGCAAAGACACGATAACGTACCAGCAAACATCATCATATGCTGTAAATTTGTTCCGATCTGATTTCTTCTCCCCAAATTCAGTAAAAATGACAGTGGGTAAATATTGGCAGCTCTTCCTAGGAAGATAGCAAGCTGTATTTGCACACGTTAAGGAAATTCTTCCTCCTGTGTCTCCCGTCGCATCCCACCTCTGCATGCAGAGCCAGTTTCTGCTGCCTGACGGAAACACTGGGGAGCCTCAGAAACACCCGTCCTCTGGATGCAAAGATAATAACCCAGCTCCAAGTGCTACAGCAGTGGGGGAAGAGCATGCTGCTGCCTCACCAGAGCAAAGCACACCTTGCAATTCAGGAATATCATCCAGAGACAAGCACAAATAAACAATGGCAATGATGAGAGGGCAGGTTAGATGAGTGAGAGAAGAGAGAAAACACCATTTCCCACTGAATGCTCTCCCCTGCCCAGTCTGTTTTCCACCCCAAGAATTATTTGTCCCCTGTGAAGCTCAAGTTATCACAGCTACCACAACCCCTCTGACATTCCCCGGCATGCCACACTTCACAGCTGGGTTTGAAGCTTTAAGCCAAGTCCCGTTCCCAAAGATTATTCAGCAAAATGAAAGCAGCAGCAGTTGAGAAGAAAAAAAAGAAACCTAATACTCTTTCTGTTCTCGTAGCCTGCGAGATACAAGAATCACCAGCCCCTTCATATTGTTTTTTATCTTTGAAGCTGTGTCTTTTAATACAAGCACCCAGATGGCAAAAATAATCTTGGAGCCAGTATTCAGCGCAGCCTTGAATAATATGGAAAATGCTTCCAGCTTTTATGTTCTTTCCTGAACATCATGAATTTGCATAAGAGACGTATTTCATGATCTCTCTCATGAATGAGCTATTTCATCAGTGACTTAGCCAGTTCCTACTGAAGAGGCACAGCACAAAATTGCAATCTAACCACCCAAACGGCATCTCCCTGCTCTTCGCTCCCTTCGCCCCACTGCAGCCCTGCCCTGCAAAAGCTCATTGGGGGAACTCCGCAGACCCCGCTGCAAACCCTCATGCCAGCATTGGCAAAGATAACAAAGGTTTATTTATCAGCATAAACCTGCTTCAGTGCAGGCAAAGGGTTGAAAATAATTATGCACATCTGAACTGGCTTCGCTGTGATATGAAATAAATTCCTGCAAAATCCTTGTTTTTCTGAGACATACCAGGGCTGATAGCTTGTTTCCATCAGCATCAGCCTGCAGAAGGGGAAATCCTTTCTCATGACATCATTCAGAAGAATCTATAGCTTTAGCTTTAACCGTGCTGTTTGAACAAAAAAAGGCTTTTTTCAGGGTCAACCAAATGGAATAGCAGAGAAGAGAGGAAATAAATGGCTATACCAGGCAGTCCTTGTTTGCAAAGCCACTCCTGGTGCCATGCTGCCACGTGCTGAAGCCTGGAGCTTCGGCACCACGTTCACACCAAACACCAAGTCCCTGCAGCAGCTGATTCAAATGTCCACGAAAGGAGATAAGACGGGGGAACAAAAAAAGAAAAAAAAAAAAGCTGGGAAAAGAATCTCCATCTTCTTAAAATTAAAACCAGCAGAGGCACCACTACAAGGGAGAAATCCCCTTTTAAAAATAAAGCTAGACTGACTGAAAAAAAACCCCACACAGTTGAATGAAAACCACAAATTGGGCATGAAGCACCTCTCCCTTTCTTTTTTTGTCTTATAAAACAGGCTCCAAAGGATACAAAAGCCCCCACCACAAAGGTAGGGTTAAAGACGTGGTTCTGGAAGGTGAACAGTGCAAGCCCCATGTAGGAGAAGATGAAGTTTTCTGCCAAGAAATTCAGAAGCTCAAACAACTGAAAGAAAAACAAATTAAAAGCGAGTTAGACATAGCACAGATTTAACAAGAAAAACACGTTAGCCCATCCATCATGTAATAAACACTTCTGCAGAAGCAACCCTAATAAAACCCATTTGTAGAAAGACAGATGCACCTAATTCTGTCTAGAGGGAAGGAAAAAATATTGAACTTGAAATTCAGAGAAGCTGAAGGGGGCTGAGGAGCTCTCACCTGCTTAGTTCTGTGTTGGGACTCTGTAGATAAGTTGTTGTAGGTATAATGGGCCTGGGTGATCCCACAGAAGAGCACAGCCACCACACCTGGGGAGCAGAGCATCATGTCAGAATCCTGGTCAGGATTCTGCACCCCAGCCATGCAGGGGACTTAATACAATAACCCCAGAACCCAGAATAATTAAACTCCTGAAAGCAGAGGGAGATGCCCAGCTGCAATCGATAGTGGGAGAAGCAGAACTCAATATCCCCATCATCCCTGCAGATCTCCATCCCAAACCCAGGGCTGTGCTGCAGCTTGCCTGTAAAGCCACATGCTTCAGCCAGCAGGAACGTGCTCCAGGACATCAAGAAGAACAAGCCAGTCTCCAGCAATGGGAACTCCCGAAGTTTGGTGAACTTGGTGACGTTACAGATGGTTAAGGACAATTTGGAGAGAAATGGTACGCTGAGAGGATATCAAATCCAGTTGTGTATCACAGCAACACTACACAGCCTGCTCCTAAAAAGGCTATGGCATTGTCTTTCATTAATTTAGGCAAAAAAAATCACAAAACACTGGGTCTGGGTGAAATGCAGCGCAGACAAAAAAAGACACTGTCATGCAAACACTTGGAAAAACCAAAAAAAAAAAAAGGATATTAAAGCTGTGACAACTCCAGTAGCTGCTCCCATTGCAAAAGATCCACTGAATATCCCCAGGAAGATCCCGATGGACTTGAACATTGCTGTGACATCAAACGTGTGGCTGTTGTCGCCTGCCGGCTGGTACGCAACAATTGAACTGAAAGAGGGAGGAAAAGCACACACAAGAACAAAACACGCTTTAGTCTGGAGGGAGAGGCACCTCCATGGTGCTACATGAGCTTTGCAAAGCGCTATGACTGCTGCAAACACCGAGCCTGAGAAATCAGGGAGCCTAAACCCAGGTCCCACACTGCAAGCTCTCCACGTGCCCAGCATGCAGCGGCAGCATGCCTGCCCTCTCCCAGGGAGTCTGGGGTCTCCTTTGCTCCTGGCCAGCTTTCTGCAGCTCTGCCACCCCTCCCCTCAGCAAGGCTCCGTGTTTGCTCCTTCTAGATGTTAGAATGCATTGGACCAAAGCCCATTTCTTGTGTGAACTCCTGCAAATGCATTTGCTAGGCGACAGCTCATCATTTGTGATGGTATTTTGGGGGTTTGGCATCAGCTCTCTAAAGCCAGGCACTCTGGGACTACAGAGGCTTCGAGTGGACAATCTACATTTCTCCATCAACTCCACAGAGGCGGCTGATGTGAATATCTCCTGGAGAACTATAAGTTATGCTGTTTTACTGCATTTAAAGTGCACTACCACTGATTTTGCACTGCTCCGAGTTCTGAAGGGAAATATCACAGGGCAGCAAGGCAAAGGCACAGTGCCGGTTCACCACAGCAACGCTATTATTTTCATCCACCAAAGCCCAGCAGATCTTTGTGATGAGATGGCAAACCGGTCTGTCGCACTGATCCCATCTCTGAATGTTTCCTCCTAACTCCTGAGCCTTGCACCAGCCATCCAGTGTTCTACTTGGAAAGGCTGAGACGCAGGGGTCCCCTATCCATCTCCTAAACCCCATTTTAGTATCAACTCCTTCTTAGCTTCTTCAGCGTAAACTTACCAAAACACTAACTTCCCAGTTAGCAATCCCTCGGCTGGCTCTGTTAAAACTCCTGGATGTGAACTTTAAATAGTTGCTGTTTAACCTCCCAAGTTATGTTGGAACGGAAAGTCACTGCCTCACACACACATCCTGCAGCTTTCTCCCCTAACTACACATCAGCATTTTTCTGCAACATGACTGACAATCCTGCCCTTTCCAAGACTTCATGGGTCACTTCCCTTGCTAAACTTCCCTGCTGTTAATACATTTCATTTTTCTGCATTGTCTTTTACACTGCAAGCTGCAGATCTCTCCCTGGGATTTAAATTCTTTTGTAAATCCGATCCTCCACTTCCCATTCACCAACGTGCTCTCATTCTGGGGTTTGGGTTGGTTTTTTTTTAAACCCAAACTGGTTTCGTTTCCCCTCCACAATCGACTGTTTGAATGTATAGGTTTTGTGTTTTAACTTCTCACAGTTTTCCTTCTGGTTTTTGCTTTTTGCATCACTAATAAGACACTATTGCCAGCTGCCCTTTGTGTGCTTTATTTCCCCTGTCCCTCCCCACAGGGCTCACTGGGACATTCAGCTCCCGTGAAGCCTCCCTTCAGAAGAAGCAGGTAGAGACCCTGCGGCTCCATTTACCGCCCTGCTCCTGAACCGCAGCCCCGGAACCTTGCTCCCCACCAGCTTTCGGTTCTGGGTTCAATTCCTCTTCATCCCGCAAGTGGTTCCCTGCCGCCAAGCACAGAAAGGCTCAGATCCTGCTCCCCGAGCACGGGAACGGACATTTGTCTGGGACCGAAAGCAGGGAGGAGAGGAGCCTCGGGGGCACCACCCTCCTGGCAGAAGCTGTGGAGGAGTCGCAGCTCCTTGTGCTCCCCCGGCGTGGGGACGGTGCCTGCAGCGCTCGCTTTCACCACGTGTGAGGAGCTGACGGCGCTCCTCGGGGGAGCCACCAAACCCACGGAGCTCCAGCTACGGCTGGAGGCCCCCCTCC